CTATCACAACATGATCGATTTGGTTTCTCGTTTTTCGATCCGGAGACAGCCAGGTAGCTTGATGGATCTTTTTATGCTTGAACCTAGTGCTGCATACTACCATGTTTCGGGTCCCGGCGAAGTCGATCAGCCTCAATCCGTTGTCGGAGGTTTCGTCGTGGAGGCTGAATTTTCCGACGGTGGTTCCAAATATCCCTTCTTTGCACACCCTGGCATTGAAGTCGCCAAGCACGATTTTGATATCATGACGGGGGCAGCGCTCGTACGTGCGCTCCAAGCGCTCATAGAAGAGATCCTTGGATGCCTCATCCTTCTCTTCCGTCGGGGCATGGGCGCAGATGAGCGAGATGTTGAAGAATCTCGCTTTGATGCAGATTGTGGCTAGACGCTCTTCCACGGTGGTGAACGACAGTACTTGGCGACGGAGTCTCTCTCCCACCACAAATCCAACTCCGAATTTGCGCTCCTTTACATGGCAGCTGTAGTAGACGTCGCAAGGCCCCAGACATTGTTTGCCTTGCCCCGTCCAACGCATTTCTTGGATGGCGGTGATGTCAGCTTTTGTCCTTACGAGGACATCAACCAGCCGGGCAGAGGCACCTTCCCCATTAAGGGTCCGGACATTCCAGGTGCATGCCCTCAAATCGTAGTCCTTTAAACGTTTGCCGTGGTCGTCATCATAAGGGGGGGTCTCATCCGAGGCTTTGCCTTGCTTCTGGACACTAGCTCTACAAAAACGCTAGGCATAAAAAGGAACGCGCTAACGGACTCCTTTTCTTACACGGACGATCCTGTTCCCGGTGCCAACTCGAGGAAAAAAAGGCAAATATTATCAGCGGTAGCGAAATTGTTTGACCCGGCAGGATGGCTAACACCAATAATGATTTCCGCTAAAATGCTCCTTCAGCAACTATGGATGGAAGGAACTGACTGGGACGAGCACGTAAAACCCGGCGCTTTCCACAAATGGAACACTGCGCGAAAATCTCCCCGCGATTAATGAAATTGTTATTCCCCGCTGGGTGCAATTCTCCCCTACTCACCGTGTACAAGTACACGGGTTTTCAGACGCCTCTGAAAAAGCTTATAGCTGCAAACAGTCAGCCTCCCCAGACTTGAGCTCTGTGGAGCCGTCCTACTTGCCAAGCTGGTTAATCAACTCCACTCCCAACTAGATTTGCCTGCTCATGATTTGTACCTCTGGTCAGATTCTTCCATTGTGTTGGCGTGGTTAGAAAAACCGCCTCACACTTGGAAAACTTATTTTGCCAATAGAATTTCGCTCATACTCCAAAATGTGAGCAATGCCACTTGGTGGCATGTACCTGGTGCAGAGAATCCTGCCGATCTAGGCACCCGCGGATGCCATCCCCAAGATCTTGCGACATGCGCATTAAGGTGGAATGGCCCAGAATGGCTGCAAAAACTCCCCACTTCGTGGCCAAAAAACCCATCTCCACATTCGTCACCCCCAGAACAACGACGTATTGAATCCCTGCACACGATTGAGTGGGTGGACATACTTGAGCGTTTTTCCTCCTTTGCTCGAGCGTTGCGAGTAATAGCGTTTATGTATTGGTTTATAAACGCAACGAGAAAGCAGCCGATACCCACTTCTCTCCCCTTAACGCACGAGGAAATAAATCAAGCAATAAATGCAGGGAAATCTATTAGCAAAAAAAGCCCTCTACTGACTCTGAATCCATCCGATGGTGGATCGAGCTGGAATTATGCGCATGAATGGACGGTTAGCTTACGCAGCTCTCAGTTACAATGAACGTCACCCGATCATAATTCCAGAAAATTCCCAGCTCTGTGCTCTGCTGCTCGACTTCCTCCATACAACTCTTCTCCACGCTGACAAACAACAAATGATTCGAATGGTGCAGCAAGAATATTATATCCCCAGGTTGAAGCAAAAGATAAAAAAATATATTTTTCAGTGCAAGGTATGCACAATCTATAAACAAAAGATGCGTTCACAGATAATGGCCGCGCTCCCCCCTGGACGATCTACCTATACACTCCCCTTTCATACCACAGGTGTTGACTTTGCTGGACCATTTCTTGTGAAAACATCTACCCTCCGACGAGCTCCCCACGCAAAGGCGTATGTGTGTGTGTTTGTGTGCTTCTCCACCCAAGCAGTACACTTAGAATCATGCTCAAGTCTAACCACTGAAGCGTTCAAAGCAGCGGTCACCCGATTCGTCGGCCGCCGTGGAATCCCCCATAAAATCATGTACGACAACGGAAAACCTTTCGTAGGTGCGCAGCGAACGCTGCAAAGAGAATTCTCCCAGTTTCTTAACGAAGCGGCTACTGATATCGCCGAAAAATACGCAACCCACGGATTTGCATGGCAGTTTATCCCACCGTATGCTCCCCATATGGGCGGTCTCTGGGCAGCTGCTGTAAAAAGCTTCAAAACCCATTTCACAAAGGAAGCCGGAAATCACAAGTTTACCTTTGAAGAATTTACCACTCTCCTTATTCGAATTGAAGCGGTGTTAATTTCCAGGCCGCTTTCCCCTATGTCTCAGGATCCTACGGATCTGCTGGCCTTAACGCCAGGACACTTTTTGCGTGGTGCCCCGCTCCTCTCTAGGCCTGAACCCCACTCTGACAATCTGTCTTAAGTAAACAAATGGCAAAAATTGAAGGTTATTCATAAGCAATTTAGCACGCGCTGGAAAAATGAATATCTTAAGGAACTCCATAAAAGGCACAAGTGGAAGCGACAAGAACCCAACGTTAAGGAGGGAGACCTCGTTGTCGTCAAAGACGACCTTCTACCCCCAAACGAGTGGAGACTCGGGCGCGTTGTGAAACTTCA